ATTCGAACTATTGACAAATACTTCCGGTTGAGAGCGGTGAGTATGATTCTACCCATTCTATCTTCACTTCCTTCTTGCTTTCGTTTTTCATTAAATTTGAATTTTTTATAACGTATGTATTGTGACTTTTTCATTTCCATAGCGTTGAAAATTACTGTTTGCTTTTAATATTTCTGATCAGCAATATGCATTCCCTACACAGTTTTGCGCCGAGTAGTGAAGCGCTTTTCTCAAGTTCAATCACACCAGGTACTTCTGCAGTTCAGATTTGAGGGGAGTTTTTCTTTCCGTCCACCACTGAACACAGGGTTGGTATGATCACTTCACTGTTNAAAAAATCCCTTTCCCTATTTCTCTTATTTCTTTTCTTTTTGAAGTTTACTCTTCGGCTGTTCGTCAACGTCATCGTATTGCCATCAGGCCAACCGTTCGACAGTCCAATCCTTCCCTTCAACTGCAATCCAGCTGGTAATTCCATTGCTTTACTTAATGCTGTCATCCTCTATTTGTTTACATCATTCAGCGCTGGACCTCGGCTATTAATTAGCCTATTTGCTCCCATTTTTATGATAATTCCTGAAGAAATTTCTAATCAGCGTAGCTGAGGATATGAAAGAAAAGGACAAAGTAGGCAACAGGCCTGCGACTCAGTTGCGTAAATCAACAGCTTACGGGCTCATCTAAATCGCGGGTCTCTCGCCTACCTTTCCTTTCTTTTCTTGCTTTGACCTACATTGGACCACGGCTTTTTCTAGGGCCTCTCCTCACTAAGTATCTATCTTTCTCCATTTCAGGTGGAAAAGAATCACTTCATATGAGGAAGAGGTGGTAACACGGTACGACGCCTGCATCGTTGTTTTGGCTATTGAAAGTAGGTATTAACTGTAACCTGGTTAACTGTAATAACTGGTTGTAACCATTGAAAGGGTTTTCAACATTTCTTCAGGTTTGTATATGTTTGTGGTCGAATCTTATCAAGAGGATCGTTACGGTGTTGTGTTAAAAGATTTGCATACGATAATAGGTGTCTTTGTGCAACTCATTCGAACTATTGACAAATACTTCCGGTTGAGAGCGGTGAGTATGATTTCCATTCTATCTTCACTTCCTTCTTACTTTCATTACTCATTAAATTTGAATTTTTTTGTAACATATGTATTGTGACTTTTTTATTTCCATAGCGCTGAAGATTACTATTGGCTTTTAATATTCTGATCAGCAATATGCATTCCCTACACAGTTTTGCTCCGAGCAATGAAGCGCTTTTCTCAAGTTCAGTCACACCAGGTACTTCTGCAGTTCAGATTTGAGGGGAATTAGTTTTTCTTTCCGT